GGGCAACAACTCGCGCGCCACCCTGACCCGGAATGGCTCGAGGACGGGCGGGCCACTGGTGACACCGAACTTGAAAGCCAACCCAGCCGCGTCGGCTCATCGCTAACCCGCACGCTGCCCAGAGCAGCCGCAATTCTGGTTCTGGTCCCCGCCGCCCCTGCACACTCCAGAGGCCAGGGGTGAGGGGGAGGGGGTGGAGGGCAAGGCTGTCGCAGAGGGAGGGGACGGCTAAGGAGTCTCGGTTTGGAGCACATTGGGCAGCGCGCGTCTGGGGTTTTCCGCACTCCGCCCCCGGCCGCCGGTGATGTCCCCGAGATCCCGAGCCGCGCCCCGGCGCCCGCGCTCACCCGAGGATGTGCGCCATCGCAGCGCGCAAGAAGTCCAGGTCGAAGTGCCTCAGCACCGGCAGCCAGCGCAGCTCGGGGGCCGCGTCCAGGCTCACGTTGAAGAGCGGCGGAGCTGGGGGCGAGGCGGCGGCCGCCACCCCGGCCCCGGCCAGCAGCAGCAGCAGCGCCAGCGCGGGGCGCGCGCCCGGGTCCACGGCTCGCATAGCTCGGGCTCAGGTGGCCGGAGTTAGGGCCGCTGCTGCCACAGCCGGCGCCCGGGGAAGCGCCGAAGCAGAAGGAGGAGGAGGAGCCAGGGCGGTGCTAGGAGGGCTGGAGGCGGAGCCCGCGCGCGGCCTGGCCCACCAGGTCATTTGGTGCCCCCAGCCCTCCCGCCCGGGCTCTCCTTCCGCGGGGGCGCTAACGCTGCCAGCCGCCGGCTTCTCACCCCGCCTCCCCACCCCATCCCAGCCACGTGGACCGACAGTGTCAACCGCGGCCTGGAGCGAGATGAAGTAAATGATTTTCAGTAGCGAAGAGGTTGCAGGAGAGTCCTACCGTGGTAGGAAAGGATCCCCCACCCTCACCCCGCCACCTCACTTGCTCATATTTAAATTATTTAAAGGTTTATCTGGATTTTATAAAGGAAGAGAGAGCTTTTTCAGTTCAACACTTACACCTCTTTTAGTTTAAAAAAAAAAACTAAAAAGTTAGCTAACGTTTATGTGCCAAGTATTTTTGCCGACTCTATCTCATTTAACCATCAAACGGAGATGAGTTAGTTCTGCCCGTTTTCGTGATGAGGAATATGAGGCTTGGAGAGGTAAAGCAATTTGCCCGAGGCCACACCTGGGGAGCCTCTGCGCTGGCCTCCCAGCCAGGCTCTCAGAATCCAAACTCCACCTTCGTAATCACTCCCCTGCCTCCTCCTTGAGTTCCCAGGATCTGAAAACTTGCAACGTAAAGCTTGTAAGTCTTAGGAAAATCACCTGACTTAGCAAGGCTGGGACGTTCTTAATGGTTAGCATGTCGTCTGTGGGTAAAACAGAATAAATGTGTACAGGAAACTGAGAAAGGTCATTTCCTTCAGCGTTTTTTCCTGTCAAATAGAATACACGATCACTACCTCTGATGTTTCCCATTTATGACCTGCCTGTCACGGGGCTAAAGTTTTAAGTCTCTGTTCTTGCTTCATCTTGATCTTTCCATTAAATCTAAGTCAAGACCGAGTCTTAATTCGCTCGTTTGCAAAACCAGAGTAACTGAGTTGCCTGCTTAAGCCGTAGGTGCATTGAGAGAATCACCCAGGGAGCAGACAGATCAGTGAGTTCAAAGAGGTGCGCTTGCATTAAAAAAGAAAAAAAGTGACTTCCAGTCTGTTCAAGACTGATATTAAAAAGATAAAAATTAAAAATAGGAGCTGGCCTCTGACGTAGGGCTAAGTTCCGTGCACTCGGCTTCGCGCCCGGGTTGGGATCCCTGGCTCAGACCTACACCGCTCGTCAGCTATGCTATGGCGGTGTTCCTCTCACAAAATAGAGGAAGATTGGCACAGATGTTAGCTCAGGGCTAATCTTCCTAAAAAAAAAAAAAAATACAGGACTTTTTAAAACCATTATAAAATGTATTGAATGAACATATCTACAACGTGGTAAAATGGGCACTATTCGCAATTAAGCTGAGCTAAATATAATTTTAAATAATCTATTCATGTACTAGTAAAACGTTATACATATGCTATAGGACAGTTTAAAACAGAGATTAAAAGGGAGATCTGAAATTACAAAACTTCAAGCCCCCGTTTCTGCTGCTTCTATGCCATGCACATTTCAGAGATGCCGTATGTTGATTTCATGGCTTGTCTATGGATCAGAACCTACAGCTTAAAAAATGCTTCTGTGGGGAATGCAAGAAGCTAGATGATTGTATCAGAAACATGGGATATAATGTTTTTTTATGGCTGGTATCTCATTTTGTTCAGTTTAAAGGCAGTGTGATAGTTTTTAAATATAGCCACATACTCCTTCAGTACGACTTCCTTCCAAAGCGGAGCCTAATTCCCCTCCTCTTGACTGTGGGCTGTACTTAGTGACTTGCTTCTAATGAATAGAATATTGCCCAAAAGATGGTGTCTGACTTCCAAGACTAGGTCACAAGGACGTGGTGGCCTCCTGCTTGCACTCTCTCTTGGATTGCTTACTCTGCAGGAAACCAGCTGTCATGTGCCGAGTACACCAAAGAAGCCCTGTGAAAAGGTCCCTATCTTGAGGAACTGAGACCTCCCACCAAGAACCAGAGAGGAACTGAGGCTTCTTGCTATATGCAATATGGATGAGCCATCTTGAAAGTCGATCCTCCAGCCGCAGCTAGGCCACCCCAATTCCTTACCCACAGAAACTGTGAAAGAATGTTCACTGCTTTAAGCCACTAAATTTTGTGGTGATTTGTTAAGCAGCAATACATAACTAATACAGATTTGGGTAACACAAGTGGAGTGCTACCATGACAAATACCTAAAAATGTGGGTGTGGCTTTGGAAGCTGGAAGGACTCAGCAGGGTGTAAGTGAAAGCCTAAAGTTCTTTGAACACACTATTAGAAGTCTGACAGCCTTTAAGGGACTGCCAATAGTAGCTTCAAGGGAGATGAGAAAAATGCTATTGGAAACTGGAGGAAAGTGGTTTTTTGTTATGTAGTGGCAGAACATTTAACAACACTGTCACCTCCAGTAATATGGAAGGTAGAAAATGTTCCCAAGGAACTGGATAATCTAGTTAGATTTCCAGGACACGTTGAAGTTGCCACCCAGCTTCTTCTTGCTGCTTACAGTAAAATGTGAGAGGAGAGAGAAGCTACAGGGAAGACTTAAAAAGGATCTAGCAAGGTGGTACAGCCACTTTGGAACACAGTTTGGCAGTTTCTTACAAAAATAACATACTCTTACCATATGATCCAGCAATCACTGTCCTTGGTACTTACCCAAAGGAGCTGAAAACTTATGTCCACACAAAAATCTGCCCATGAATGTTTATAGCAGCTTTATTCATAATTGCCAAAACTTGGAAGCAACCAAGATGTCCTTTAGTAGGCGCATGGATAAACTGAGGTACATCCAGGCAATGGACTATTATTTAGCACTGAAAATAAATGAACTATCAAACCATGAAAAGACACAGAGGAAACTTAAATGCATATTACTAACTGAAAGAAGACAATCTGAAAAGGCTACACACTGTTATGATTCCAACTCTGTGATATGCTGGAAAAGGCAAAACTCTAGTAAAAAGATCAATGGTTGCCAGGGGTTAGGGAGAAGAAAGGGATGAATAGGCACAGCAAGAGGGACTTTTAGGGCAGTGACAATGCCCTGTGAGATACTACAATGGTGGATACGTGTCATTATACATTTGTCTAAACCCACTGAATGTACAACACCAAGAATGAACCCTAATGTAAACTATGGACTTGTGGTGATGATGATGTGTCAATGTAGGTTCATCAGTTGTAACAAATGTACCACTTTGGTGGAGGATGTTGATAATGGGGGAGGCTATGGGTGGGGGGGGAGGGGCAGCGGTATATGAGAACCCTCTGTACATCGTGCTCAATTTTGCTGTGATCCTAAAACTGCTCTAAAAATAGTTTATTTATGGGGCTGGCCCGGTGGCGCAGCAGTTAAGTTCCACTTCAGTGGCCTGGGGTTCGCCAGTTCAAATCCCGGGTGCAGACATGGCAATGCTTGGCAGGCCATGCTGTGGTAGGCATCCCACATATAAAGTAGAGGAAGATGGACACAGATGTTAGTTCAGTGCCAGTCTTCCTCAGCAAAAAGGAGGATTGGCAGATGTTAGATCAGGGCTAGTCTTCCTCCAAAAAAAAAGTCTATTTAAAAGGAAAAGGATGCAGGACTGGTTTTGAAAATTCCCAGGTCCAAGGTATAAATGGGAACTTAGTTTATCACAGAGATAGCATTGCCTATCTGAAGATATTTGCAATATAATTGACCATAGATATATATATATATCTCTCCAGAATATATAAAGACCCCCCACAAATCAATAAGAAAAAAGAAAAATGGCTATAGAGGAAAACTACATGGCAAAAGTCCATGTGAAACAATTTCAACCTCACTAGTAATCACTGAATTCCAAATTAAGACAATATCATTTATAAGTGACAGACTGTGTAAATTTTTAGAGTCTAATAACACCAACTATTGACATGGATGTGCTAAAATAGGAACTCCTATGAGTTACTGTTAGGAATGTGCAATTCAGCACTGCTTAGTAAAGTTGAAGAATCATGGCCCTACAACCCAGCAATTCCATTTCTAGGTTTCTATTTAAACTTTGGATAAAGAAAAAACTCTTAAGACATATGCCCAAGGAGACACGTACAAAGATGTTCACTGGGGAAAATTTTTTACATAGCAAAAAAGTGGAAACTAAGTGCTCTTTGGTAGGGTAATGATAAATTGTGGATTTATGAATAAACAATGGGAAACTATACAACAGTTAAAATGAAAGAATCTCCTTTTATCAAAAATCTAATGTTGTTACATAGTCGCCAAAGAATATATACAATGATACCATATGTGTAAAAATTTAAAAGATAATAAATAATACTGTCTACTATATACACACACATCAACATATACATGCACAAACGTAGTAAAAGAAAAAATGACTAAAGGAGTGATAGGTATTAATTTCAAGATAATCATTATCCCAAGAAGGGAGGAAAAATGGCTAAGTGGGGCTTTACACTCTTAATGTTCTATTTCTTTAAAATAAAAAAAAATGGCAAAAATTAACATTGAATAAATCTGGGAGATTGGTATCTGTTTTGTTATTTTCTATATTTTCCTGTATGTTTGAAAATATCACAGAATGGTAAAATCTTTATAAAATTTTCTGAAAGAGGAAGATTCAAGTATCCTTAAAACAAGAAGTTGTGAAATATAATTTATTGGTTTACTTTCCATGTAATTCCTTTAAACTTCCCCTTTTGTAACATTTTGCAGAATTAGGTTCCCATTTTGTCCTTAATTTTCCTTTAACCCTTGGTCAAATTCCCTTTTAAAGCACTCCTGGATCTCATGTTAACTTAGATATTAGGAATAGCAGGTACACCAAAATTGGATATGCTAAGAATGGAACTAGAGGTTTTATTAGAATTTTTAAAAAGATGTTTAGTATAAACATTTTATAGCAACGTTACAAAATATTTTCTGATGATTAATTTTATGTGTCAACTTGACTGGGCTAAGGGATGCCCAGATAGCTAGCCGGTAAAACATTATTTCCTAGTGTGTCTGTGAGGATGTTTCCAGAATAGAGAGCATTTGAATTGGTAGACTGAGCAAAGAAGATCACTCTCACCAGTGTGGATGGGCATCATCCAATCCCTTGAGGGCCTGAAGAGAAAAAAAGGGAGAGGAAGGGCAAATTTGCTCTTTTTGCTTAAGCTGGGACATCCATCTTCGGTCCTGGGACGTTGGCACTCCTGTTCTCAGGCCTTCAGACTTGGAGTGAATCATACCACTGGCTCTCCTGGGTCTCCAGCTTGCAGAAAGTAGATCATGAGAGATCTCAGCCTCCATAATCTTGTAAACCAATTCCTATAATAAATCTTCTCATATATACATAGGATATATTTTATATATATATATATATATAATTTCTCTCTCTCCAATTGGTTCTATTTCTCTGAAGAACTCTAATACATGCTTAATATATACAGAAAAAGAAAACCCAGTCAGCTATATTCCCACCACACAAACCCAGGAACTATTTTCATATGCATATTATATTTATAAAATTTTAAGTCGGAGTATTATTTTATGCATCTTAAAGAAAAACTCGCTGATATTTAAACTACTTTAGTTTGCTTTCTTACTAGAATTTAAAAATGTGTATGTATTGAAAGAGCTCTCAAGTTTTTTTGTCACAGATATTTAAAAATCACTTACCTACTCTTGTACATGTTTTAAAAAGTGAAACCAATTGGTTAAGGTGCTGCATAAGCTTCTTTGCATTCAAAATTAGACTCTTCTGAACTACCGTTTGATGTGGCATCATAGATGCCCATGTTTTTCCACACGTCACTCTGTGTGCCATTAAGAACCTTGGTGATGCAGCATTTCTTGAGTTCTCCACTCATAAAGGAGGCTTCCAAGGCGTCGGTAACGTTCTGTTTCTTCGTTTGGATGCTGATAACAGGGATGTATTGAGCTTAAGTACACTTAACAGTACTTGAACTTTTCTTTATGTATATATTACACATCAATAAAAAGTTGAAAAATTTAGAAAAATGTTCCACTATTTTTTTTCTGGAATTTTCTTACAAGCTACTGACACTCCTGCAAGTTTTGATACTCGTCCTTGCTTGGTCTTAGCAGACATCAACTTAAGATTTTTAGACTATGAATGTGAAGTCAATGACAATTATGTCAAGACTGTCATTTGGCTGCAAAAATTTTAAGACAAATCCCAATTTCATCAATTAAAAATGTGAAAAATGTCTTAAAATCATTTTATACTTTGCTTTTGAAAATAATAGCATAACATTTTTTCACATTACTACAGTGTTTATACCTTATCTTTGATAACTTTTTATCATATTGATTGTTTAATAGTTGAATATTCCATCTAGTAACTATATACCAAGTTGTTTATTCCCAAATTTTAGATATTTTCTTGCACCTATTTTTGCCACTATAAATTATGTTGCAATGAACATTTCCCTACAGATAGCTTGTAGCAGACATTGCCAGTTGCCTATTCAAAATCCATTTCCCTCTCTTCCTTGCTAACAGAAGCCCAGTTCTGTTGGGGTGGTTATGGTCCATCTAAAGTGAGAGGTCAACAATCCTATTTTCTGCTTTCTTGGCTTCCCCTTTTGGTAGTGTGGTCATGTAACTCAGTTCTGGCTGACACCTAAGGGAAGGCTGTCACACGGATCCTGTGAAAGCTTTTTGCTTTCCTAGTAAATGGGATTGAAGTGGCAATGCCCCTTCTTGTTGCCTTAAACACAGAAGAAATGTCTATAAAGGTAAGGTATTATCATTATCTCCATTTTACAGACGAGGAGACCGCAGCACAGAAATGTTGTGTAACTTGCATGTGGTCATACAGTTGTGTCAGAGTCAGCATTTGAATCCAGATCCTGGCTTCAGTCCACTAAGAATGACAAAGCAGAAAAGAAGCCCAAGATCTTTATGGCATCACTGAGCAGCTGAACTCAGGCCAGCAACTTGTCTTCCTCCAGACTTATGTGAGACTCCAGTTTGGTTAGACTATTTTTAGATGCACATTCTGTTACCTGTAGCAGAACAGTCCCAAACAGACCTCTTGTCAGATTTTGGATCATTTTCTTTGACTAGACTCTCACAAGTGGGTTTGAGTCAAAGGTATGACTATTTTTTAGGCTCTTGGTACACACTACAAATTATTTTCCCTAAGAATTATACTAACAGCACTTTTGCTAACATTGGGTATTGCTGGCTAGAGTCAGAAGGTCTCAAAACTAAAGATGACTCCAGCACCTCATCAGCAACTAATGGAAGAGAGTAATGAAGAAGGCAAGACTACAACTCCTCTGGAGAATTTTCAAATCAATCCTTGCCTTGGTTTAAGGTGCAATTTAAAACAAAATTCACAACAGAGTCTTAAGTCTAAAGCTACCTTTATTCCCCAGCCTCAAAAAGTTATTCTGTCTCTTATACAGTGACATAAGTAAAAACACGTACACTCTAAAAGATTCAGAAAGTAAAGTAAAAAGAAAAAAAAATTCACACATGAACCCAACTCCAAAGAACCACATTTAATATTTGGTATATTTCCTCTCAGGCTTTTATTATTCCCCATTTTCTTATATGTATAATTGGATCCTACTATAAACACTTTTGTATTTTGTTCTTTTCATTTATAATAAGCATTTCCTATTGTAAACATTTTAACAGCTGCATAATATTCCATCATGTGAATAAATCATAGTTTAACCATTTCCATACTGAGATCAGATTGACAAAACAACGAAAGCAGAATTTACAGAAGGAAATAAGATTACCAAATTAGGAGTGCCCTCTACAAATACATGGTATTTAAATAGTACAGAATTAGCTGTGCTCTCTGTTTTTGCTTGCATTTTTAAACAAGTACAGATCAAAGACTGTACTAGGAAAGAAAAGAGAAAAAAGAGAAAATGTTCCACATCAGTGTCTTACTTTCCTATTCATATTCAAGATCTTTTAAAAATCTCATATGATACATTCCAAAGCAACAGTTAATTTTTAGTTTTGTTTTTATACAATGAAAGGATGTCACTTGCTACAACTGTTTTATCACTTGGTAAAATGCAGTTTAAAAATGTGTATCTAAAATAGTTTGAAGAACAGAATATTCTGATTCCTTAAACATTCTGGTTAATACAGAGTTGCCATGCAACACTCTATATAGATCATAAGTTTTCAAAGAATTAGAATATGAAGTAATGAAAACAAAATTTATATCAACCCTAACATTAAAAAAATTATGCCAACTTTTAAACCCTAACTTTCTTTTATGATTCAGATATATTTCCTACTGCTGCCCTATTCATCGTAAGCATCAGTTTGTTGGCAAAGAGACATTTCACCCTCCTGCCAGCTGAACTGCCCCTTCTTCAGGGTGCCCCGAGCCCTAAGCTGTGCCTTTTTTGATAGCTCTATAAGTGGCCTTGTATAGTATAGTCATTTTGTAAGTTTATTCCCTTCATTGGATTTAAAAGTTTCTATACGGCACGAACATTGTGTTTGCAACCCACACAGCACCCAGCAGAGTGCTTTGCACACAGTGAGCATTCAATATACATTTTCGTATTTCAAACTAGTTCCCCCCAAAATGGATGGGAGGTAAAACAAATATTTGTAGCAACTGTAACTGTTATTTCAAGTAAATTAAGCAAAAGATAAAATAAAAACTGATATCTAATCTTTGATGATTTACTGAATGCTTGCTTCATAGCAAATACCACGCTTAGCGCCTATAAACACTACCTCTCAAAATTCTCAAAACAATCAGTGAGGTAGGTGGTATTATATTTTCAGAGAGAAAATGGACAGAGATTAAATTATGTATACAAACATTTGCTGAGCATCCACACACCAGGCATTGAACAAGCACTGGGGATACAGCAGAGAACACACTCTGCCTTTTATGGAGCTTATTTTCTAGTGGAACTTGCTAAGATCACATACAGTCACACGTTGCTTAACAATGGGGATACATTCTGAGAAATGTGTCGTTAGGCAATTTTGTCATCGTGCAAACATTAGAGTGCACTCACACAAATCTAGATGGTATAGCCTACTACACACCTAGGCTATATGGTACTAATCTTAGGGGATCACTAAGATCATACATGCAGCCTGTCACTGACCAAAATGTCATAATGTGGTACATGACTGTACATAATATATCAGCATTGTAGATTAACATATCATTTTATATATATAATGATCTTGGACAATATGAGTTCTTCCCTGAAATGGATTCATTCTCAATGTTGACAAAAATTTGAAACTGAAAAGCTAAAGCTTAGACTCTGATGACTTTTTAAAAGGTAAAAGTTAACCTGAAAGGTCACTCTGCGTTTACTGGCAGCATCCGACCTTGTGAGGATCTGATCTTCAAATTTATAGTAAAACAGGAAATCTTCTCAAGAGAAAATTTATGAAATAATAAAAGGGGGCCGGCCCTGTGGCCGAGTGGTTAAGTTTGTGTGCTCGGCTGCTGTGGCCCAGGATTTCACTCGTTCGGATCCTGGGCGCAGACATGGCACTGCTTGTCAGGCCATGTTGAGGCGGCATCCCACGTGCCACAAGTAGAAGGACCAGCAACTAAGATATACAACTATGTACAGGGGAGATTTGGGGAGATAAAGCAGAAAAAAAAAAAGATTGGCAACAGTTGTTAGCTCAGGTGCCAGTCTTTAAAAAAAATAAAAATAATAAAAGGAATCAGAGATAAGATACCATGGGATTAAAGAAACAAAAGAGAGTTAAGACTGCACCTTTTTAAGCCAGATATTTTCTATCTTGCATATAAACCTCAGTTAAGAGCAGGGTGAAGCCACAGTAGAAGAACAGGAGTCAGAACACAGAATGGACTTTGGCCTCTCGGCAGCTAAGTCGGGTGGGAAAGTCCAGGGGAAGGCTGAAACATCCAGGCACCATCACAATATACTCAGCAAAACTGTGGACCATAGCTGCTATGCCATTTTGAATTTTACTTACTTCTCTCTGGAGCTAGACACATAAGGAGATACCCAGCTGAAAAATGCAGAAAGAAAAAAGCAGTTTTGGGTCTGAAATATTCAAATGCACATTGGACACTTCCTGTGAAACACTGAAGTTGCTGGGGTTGACTCTGAGAGCTCCCCTCACTAGAACAGTGCAATTTAATCATTAAACCTTAAGGTTTTCACAACTAATCCTCACTGACTGGGGGCATCTTAAAGAAAGTCATGAAGTTTCATTCAATAAAAACTGAAATTGAACTCGGAAAGTGAACAGAATACTGGAAAGGGAACAAGAAAAGTGGTTTTAGAAGCTGTTTTCTAATTCCGAGTGGGAAGAAAACTGCTTTTACTCTAATTTAAGTAAGATAGAGCAATTTTCTCATCTACCACAATGTTATCTAAGAAATCTGAGGCAAAAGCACGGAACTATTTCCAAATGCAATAACTTGCAAACAGAGAGACAGACCATGGCTCTCGTGTCCCCTGAAATCTACTCAAGCATGCCTAGGGAAGGGAGACCAACATGCACCAGTCAACACACAAGCATACCTATTTGACATCAGAAACCCTTTATTGAGACCAGGCAAAGAGTGGGCTGAAAATATTTCAGGGAGAAGGAAGGCTGAGGAAACCAATCTGATTTCTTTTTCCTCTGAGTGGGCAGCGCAAATGATGGACCAAAGACACTCCAAGATTACTCTTTACACTAAGGCAATTTAAAAAGTGAGGTCTTAACCAAAAAGCCTGTACTTGCATTCAAAAAAATATTCAAATCTTTTGGATGGACTAAAAGACCTAAACTGTCTACCCAAAATCTGTACAGCAGGGACCTGTTTTCAGCAGGTAAGCCTATTTACAAGTAAGAACCTCTTACTCTTGTAACATTGTCCTATTTCATTTTTAGAGAATTGTAACTCCCATTCTCTGCAGAGTTAGTCTGTAAGGCCTCAGAGACCCCATAGAAATATGAACCTATTTCTATTGGAGAACTATTTACAGTGCACTATAAATACACATATACATACTCGCTCCCCTATCCCTCAAATAGGCTGTGAACACCTTGAGTGAGGGGTTATGGCTCATTCATTTTGGTATCTACAGTGACAATTAGTAGGCACTCCACAATTATTTTTTGCATAAATGCT